GAAGAAGAAGAAGAAGAAGAAGAAGAAGAAGAAGAAGAAGAAGAAGATGATGATGATGATGATGATGATGATTTGGGGAATTAGAACAACAAAGAAAAACTGGGTTTTCCTCTCAGAAAAATGCAAAAGGACAAGCTGGTCCTTTAGCAGTTTACAATAGAGTTCAAATTTGCAACAAACCGCTTGCAAAGATGAAAGGGGAGTGAAGGGAAACCACAGTGAGCTCATATCCCCCCCCACAGTTTTGCGGGATGCGCGAGGAGAAAATGTGCACAGGAAATGGCAACGATAAACGGAGTTATTGTGGTACCATGACTTCACTGCTGCTCTTGGTGTGCACACCGCTTGTTCGCTTTACCCTCATTGCCTGGGCTGAGTCTAAGGAAAAAAACAACGGTTGTTTCCCCAAAGGCGCTATTTTTGTTTTTTGTTGTTTTTTCAAAAAGCAATTGGACTCTCTTGTTTTGCTAGAAGACATTTCGTGTGATGGCCCAGGTTGGGTTACAAAATAGGCATAGTCACAAAAACAGGTGAAGCCCCTTTTATTCCTTCACTTTGCTTCAAAGCTCCAAATGTCCTTAACTGGAGACAAAAAACTCCCCCACAAGCAGTTACAAAAAGGAGGAAATGCCATTTAAACTAAAAATGCCTATAAATTATAAAGAGTAAAAACAACACAAACCACACTGAAGCAATTAAGGGAACCAGGCAAGATAAGGGCTTGAAGACGTCCACAGATATCAGAACACACACCGGGAAGGACGCCAAACTCAGAGAGGAATGACAGACCAGAGATATTTCCATGCTTTGTTTCCAGCACTGGCCCATACGCATGTCCGTCCTTTTAACCAGTTCTCACAGCTGCCGCCCATGAAGGGGATCAAGGCCCTTTCCTACCCCGTAGACCATGCCATTCCTGTCTCTCCCTTATTCTCTCCTCCCTGCGTGTCCTAGGATGGAGAGGGGATGGGCCTGGGTCTTCCTCTAACTGCCCAGCCCTTCCCCAGCCTCCTCCACAACCTCTGGAGCCACACTTCCACTCCCTGTCGCCTGTTCCTCCTCTCCCTCAGAGTCAGTCTCCACCAGGGGCATGACATTTCGCTTCTCCTCCAAGAAGCTTCTCTTGTTCTGACTGAATGATGGAAGATGAAGGATTTAATATTCTTTAGCAGTCCTTTGGTCGTTAGTCCTCTCTCTGAGAGTCATTGCTGAGGCCACTTGGGAGGTTTATCTGTGCCCTCGGGGGTCACCTGAATTTTGTGCAAATGGGTGTGCGGCCTTCTTGGAAGTGATGAAAGGACTAGGTGTACAAGGTTCCACAGCCATTTGCACGATTCAGATCACTCTTGAGGGCACAGATGAACCTCCAAATGAATGTCAGGAGTAGAAATCCTTCCATTCTCTGTTCAAAGTATTGTGGCGTAAATTCAGCACCTGAAAAGCAAACACAGATGGCTGAGGCTTCATTTAACTTCTTTATAAATACATGAAGTAAATTTTACAATACCAGTTGTAGATTTCTCCAACATGGAGCAAAGCAGACATGTTACGGGTTCAGAGCAGAGCAGCAACTCAACTTCAGCAGACAAGCAAGTTAGTTTCTCTTTTCACTTTAGAGCTGAGCACAGAACAGCAGATAAACCACGCCCAGGTTCTCTCTTGAAGCTTCAGCCCTCAGCTCAGCTCTCATTGGCTGACGTTGTTACTAAGCTCTATTCCACTTCATGAATATATTCTGACTTCCTCCACCATTCAGTCAGAACTGTAAGAAGCTTCTTGGATAAGAAGCGAAACGTCTTCTAGCAAAAAAACAAGGGATGCTGTGTTTAATATTTGATTGAAAATATGAGAATATATACAATGTAATTGTAATTGAAGACTACGAAATGGAAGCACAAAACAATTTGTAAACCGACATACTGTATGTATATATATGGACGAGACTTGAACCTGATCAGTCAGCAGATGTGGGTTCGAGCGAGGAAGAAGATCTGGCACTGAGATTCGAGCCTGCATTATTAAATGACTTGGAGGGGAGTCAAGTAGAGGGAGAGGAGTTGGATTTGAGAGATGAACCTGATTTATTGGAAGATTCAGAGGCCACTCTCTCCCCTGAAACTACTTCCCTAATTAAACCTCAGGTGTTACCTGTTAATCAGGAAAGTGTGTCGGAGGTTTCAAGCGGAGATGAAACTGCCGGATGCTGGCTGGATGCCAGAACTAGGAGAAGATTGAGACGTCAATCTCAATTAGAAAAGAGACGTCCAGCAAAGGATTAATTAATGAGACTGACACGCCCTCTCTCAGAGGATATAAGGGAGCGTACGAGTTCGTAATCTTTGCTGGAAACAAAGTGGATTTTGCCTTGGAAAGATTTGCGTCTGACTACAGCGTTGTGATTTACGAACTATACAGAATTGCCAGACAGATTCTAGGAGGATCGCCAAAGGACTGTGATAACAGAGCAATTGAATCTTCTGTCTCTGGTTTTGTTTACGTGAAGTATATGAAATCTGTAACTTGAAGTTTTCATCTGTGGATACAGGTGGGACAGAACATATATATATATGAAAAAACAAGGGATGCTATTGTGGGGAAAATGGGAAGGGGGGAAGAGAAAGGTGCACTGAATGTTGCCACCTTGAATTGTTTGTAAACAGTAAACAAACAACTGAAAAGAGGCATGGCCCCTGGGTAAAGGGGTAGGTGTGGTCTGCCAGCTTGAAATGCAACGCAATCCAAGGACCGCTTTCTGCAAGAATATTGTTGCGCCTCCTGCTGGTCGCGTAACAGAACACAGTTGAAAGGGACCTTTTAGGTCAGTGATGGCTAACCTTTCGCACACGCATGCGTGGTTGCACCCATAATGCACTGCGCGCGCGAACCTTCCCGCCCTCTGCGCATGTGTGCACAATCCCATGTGCGCTGCGCGCCTCTGCACATGCACACACCCTGCCCCCGAATGGCAGATACTTGACAATCAGCTTGTTGGCAGGAAGAACGCACGCATGCGCAGTGCACTGATCTGAGGCGACGACTTGCGTGCTGGCAGAAAGAGCTCTGCGAGCCACTTCCGGCTCGTGTGCCATAGGTTTGCCATCACGGTTTTAGGTCATCTAGTCCAGGGATTAGCAATCTTAAACACTTAAAAGAGCCACAAAGGGCCTAACCAGAAGCCCTCCCCCCCCCCGCCTTTTAATTTTGGAACTGACTGAAAGTCTGGTTCCCCCACCATAGAGTCTTCTCCTAGCACGGTGTCCTTTTTCCTCTACCGACCGTAAGTCCGTTTCCCCCACCATAGTCTCCTCCTAGCGTGGCATCCTTTTTCCTCTACCGACCGGAAGTCCAATTCCCCCACCAGTCTCCTCCTAGCGCAGCGTCCTTTCTCCTCTGCTGACCGGAGGTCCGGTTCCCCCACCAGAGTCTCTTCCTAGCGTGGCGTCCTTTTTCCTCTGCCGACCGGAAGTCCCGTTCCCCCACCATAGTCT